AAATGTGTATCCTCCAGAAAGCTCAGAGCCAATCTTTAAACGATACAAAATTTTGAAAGTATGGGATATTGCTAAATCCTAAATCTTAATTGTGATGCACAAATTTGTAACTTTACAGCTCCCTGCATCATTCGATTTAATATACAAGCTCTACAAATCAAATGATATGGGTATGAGGCGAGTGAGACATGTAGACCAACCTCTCTCTAATCGTAATTATAGACTATTTACAACATCTTGGCCTTGGCCCTGAGCTGTGGAACGACATTATGGTTTCATATTTTCCAAGAATGACTGATATCTCTGCATCAAATACCATCGTTAAGAACATCATCTGCAAGCATTTCGTAAATACATATTAACATAACCAACATATCTGAATATGCTGCAGTCCTTTGCGCTGCACATATGCAACGCTACTTCATATTTAACCTTCCTCATGCTCCATAATCACGTTCTGATATAGTTATCATGCACATGTGCCCAAATTCACGGCGCTGGCTCCGGGAGTTCTTCCAGCAGCAAGCTCCGCTTAGCTGGGTGGACTCCTCGGACATCCAGCTCAAAACCCAGCACGAAAACGACCAGGTAATTGCCCCTCCGGCTTGTGTGACTGTACAATCCTTGCTAACACTGGGAATGAGTGGTTGTAGCTTGTTGGGTGGTTATAGCGGGCTGTCATTAGCTGACCTTTGGCTAATGACTACTTATAAGCCTTCTCATGTATGACTTTTACTTGCCTATTACCTAACACAGTCCCTTCGGGTCTGCACCACCTCTTCGACTGCTTCTTTACGTTTGTTTCCTCTTCCTAGCTGGGAGTACCGCGACTTGATTTTATATTTTCTGGTGTTAACGTACGGCTTATTGCGTCGCTGGGATTCATGGAGAGGGACTCCTGGTTACCTGTTCTTGGGTAACAGCATAGAAAAAGCGGAATGTGTTTGTGTGCTGCTGGCGGCTGACAGCGTGTCACGTGCGCTAACACCCACGTCCGCGGGCTTCCGCTGCATTGCTATGCTTTGAGCAAGGTTTGTGAGCGGAATTAGGTGCTATAAAATCGCATACGATTGATGTCAAAAAGCAATTTTGTCACCGGGCACATTGGATAAAATCTGCTTCCGCAGATGGGTAGAACGGAAATAAGTGGTAGGTAAAGATGTTTAATGGCGACCGAATGCGAGTGGAGATCCCGAAAATATTACCATGTAGCCATGGCTGAGTCAAAAACGCTTTAGATACTGCAGTGTTGCTATGTCGCACGACATGTGTCTGTCAGATACACAAAAAACACCGTCATGATCAAATTACTGGCACGACACGTATTGCTAGAAAAGTGTTCTGAGTGGACGCGAAACGGCCGCCATAACCTTAAGTTATGTACAGGGAGACGGAAGTTAAGACATCGATGACAATGCTTGGTCGGCAATAATATTCAATGTCATTCTGATGCCATTTTAATGGGAGATGTTTTTAGACGGCTATGTGCAAAATTGACATATCCGTTACACATCAAAGCTACCGCCTCAAATTTCTCGCCATCCGCCGTTTCACAGCACGCTGATATAGCGCAGTAATCCAATTTTAATGGGCGAATGAAACTGTCATCAATAGTAGATGTCGTCCGCATATTACCAGCTGGTGTTAAGTGTCAAGATTGACAGTTAGCTAATGCCATTTTGGCGAGCGTTTTATTCCGGAGTATGTTAACGGGAAATTTTGAAACACAGATGCCCGCGCCGCCGAGTCTCTTCATTGCCTCTTAATTACGTGCATACATCTTACCTCACATACTCACACAGCATCTCAGTTGCGACGTTCCCCACCAAAGTGCGGATCCACACCAAGGCCGGGACGTTTGTTAGTTATAGGCTTAGTGTTAATGCATTAATACTAATTTTTGTACGTTGACGTTGTTAAGGCCTTAATCTACGTCAAGACTAAGGGCTGTGGACTTGGTGTAGAATTAAAGTATAGTAATGTTGTGAGGCACATGCCAGAGTGGAAGCCTGAGAAGATTACTAAACCACATAGGACTGAACCAACTGGAACGTCAATAATTATTGCAATGCTTACACGTCTTCAGCAGTGCATCTGCTCAACACATATTTTTCCGGAGCTCTGCGAGCGCAATGAAAATGCATGGTAACCGTACCATCAGCTTGCCTCCAATGTTTCGAGAGTGCGATGCTCAGTCTCGTAGACTGTTGACGCAGGGTTGTCCTAGGCCATGTGTTTGCTTGCCTCAGACGGTATACAGAGGTCAGCTTGCAGCTCGCCAGAATGTCAAACCGTCACACAACGGCCATACCCACGACATTTTACATCGTGGGAGACGTCCTGTACGTCACGCCTTGGGCCGTGACCTCCGTGATGCACACACAGCATATATGATGTCCGATTTGAGCTCCTTGGTGACGCGGCTCTGAGTTGCCTCGCATATCAGCCTTAAGCTGTTGAACATATCAGCTCTGAGCACCGTCACGGCTGAGCTGATTGCTGCACGTACAAGTGACCTTTCGCCCACATCCTTAAGCTGCTTCGAGCGCCAGCTGTGAGCTTCCGTGCACACGACAAAGCTGCTCTACATGCTGCTAGACTTTTGTCCACACAAGACAAGTGCTGAGCGTCTACACACATTAGTTCTGAACTGCCGCGCAGGTCAGCCCTGCCGGCGTTGCCGTGCGGGCCAGCGCTGTCTGCACTGCTGCGCAGGTCAGCCCGGCCAGCACTGCCGCGCGTTTCCGGCGCCGCAGATCTGCAGTCGAGATGAATTGTCACCAGGCGGCGTCAGTTGTCACCAGGCAGTGTCAGTTGTCCTCAGCGCGGTGTCCATTTCACGGTCGGCTGCCTGCCAGTTCAGTGGTGCGAAACTGTGAGGCTCCGCTGACAGGCCGTCAGCGCGGTTCCTGACGCTCACCCGTTTCAGTTTATATTTTGTCTTACCACTCCTTGCCACTCCGTTTCGCCTAAGCAAGACGATTCGGGGGCTCACTCTGTCTGTTTCTGTTTCACTGGACGTTTTTTTCTGTTTTATTCATTTATGGCATCATTTGAGGTTCCTGATATGATATCATTCGGCGTTCAAGGGTCCTTCACTGAAACGGTCAGCGCAGCACCCGCAAGGCATTGGTTCAGGCTTTTGCAGCGCTCCGACACTGGGCGCCATTGTTGTTTTGCTTTGTTTTTACCACTCCGCTGCGACGTGACCAGAGTGCGTCAAGTGTTACAACGGCCTCGCTCTCGGCTAGCGTGTATTTATGATCTTGCACGGGCTGACAGGGCGACGGTCGGCGTAGGACTGTCGCGGCCGCTCGGACTCTCCCGTACGTCACCGGAATCCGATTTGCATGTCCCCTGGGACCGCCGAGAAGGCAGGACCCGCGGCTCATGGCCGTCTCCAGCCGTGCCGAGGCGGACTATCCGAGATGGACGATGGAACTGGCCGCCCCTGCTCGGCACGGCCGGAAGCCCCGGCGAGACCCGGGGCTTCTGACAGCGCCGTTCCGCCGGTAATTGCAGAACTCCTTCAGCTGTATGTGGCGGTGCCTGATATTCCTGGCTTTGTATCGACTGCGAGCAATCAATAGTCGTGTGACCAAACCTGCACGTCGATTGGAAACCGGATAAATCCGACCCCGCTGCTCATTAACAGCGCACGCGCACGGTTTCGCCGCACACGCGTGTCTGCGGCCGACGGCGGGTGGGCGCGCTGCCCGGAAGGGGCCGCCCGCCCGGGCAGTGAGGCAGCGGCCATGGCGGCGTAGGCGACAGAGAGGCGCCACCGGCGCCATTCCGCTGGGAGGGGATCCGCAGCCGGCACAGCTCGCGGTGGGCGTCCGACTCCGGCCGGGCCCACAGACCCACCTGAGGTGGACACGTCGCCGGGCCTGCAGACCCACCTGGGGCGGACACGTCGCAGGCCCTGCGGACCCACCTGCGGCGGACACGTCGCCGGGCCCGCGGACCCGCCTGCGGCGGACACGTCGCCGGGCCTGCAGACACACGTGGCGTCCGCGATGCCGGCACGCTTTGCTTCGTCGCTAGCGGCCTCAGGAAGGTCGGCCGGCCGGTGGGCGGCGGCCGTAGATAATTGTACGCTTGTCCTGTATCGCAGGTGATGAATGGGAGCACGGTCATCAGCCCATGCCCCGGACCGCTGGCTGGCACGCGACGTTGAGTGTCGTGATTAGCCGCCGGTGGCCTGTCACCGGCCCTGGCTGCGCCGACCCAGGCTCGTCCCAGTCCCGTCCACCCGTTCGTGTCCGGTAGCCGCGGCTGCAGCCGGACCGGCCCGTGTGCCCTCTGACCCCTGACCTTAGCGCTGGAGGAGGTGGTGACCGAGTTAGGAGTCAGCCCTCAAATGGGCTGTTCGGTGATGTGAGAATGCGATTTAGAATTGATGAATTGCAGCTATCGCGCGGTGCCTAGGAAATCATTTGTGTTCTGAAGTGGAGTTGCTGGCTGAATGTAAAGTCCACGCCATCCCAGGGTAGGCGAAATGCATTACTTTGTGTCGATTCCAAATGAAAATGCTACCCCGCGTTACTCAGGCCATAATATCAGCTAACTTTTTATTCCACTCATGTAAGCTTGCTATTATTTTTTAACCGCTTCAGAGCGCCACCCCCCATGTACTCCAACATCAGATATCAGTCACCCCTCAGCGAGGCGAATCAGTGGGCTCGCGTGAGGTGCCTCTCCGACGTCCAGCTGGCGGACCTCGACCAAAGACCGGCCTCCCGTGTCTCCGATGTCCAGCTAGCGGAGAGTGACCTCGACCTGCGCCCGCTGACCGGTCTCCCGTGTCTCCGATGTCCAGCTGGTGGAGAGTGACCTCTACATGCGACCTCTGACCGGTCTCCCGTGTCCCCGACGTCCAGCTGGTGGAGAGTGACCTCGACTTGCGACCTCTGACCTGTCTCCCGTGTCTCTCATGTACAGCTGGCGGAAAGTGACCTCGACCTGCGACCTCCGACCGGTCTCCCGTGTGTCCGCAGGCAACGTGTTCGTGATCGCTGCCATCGTTATGGAGAAGGGCCTCCAGAACGTCGCCAACTACCTGATCGTCTCCCTGGCTGTGGCGGATCTCATGGTGGCCTGTCTGGTTATGCCACTCGGCGCAATGTACGAGGTCAGTTCTGAAAAACATTGCACATAGCAAAGCGCGCCACCGCCTGACGTCGTGCCACGCTTTGTGTGGAACGCCCTGTGGTTTCATGGCACAGTTCACATGCATTTTGTTCCAGAATGTTTACACTGTCACAGTCTGGCTGGATTAGAGGCACCCAGCACCTGTTTCAGAGCAAAGCTCATCTGCATACCGAGACACTGTCGAGCCTCCCACGCCCTTTCCCAACCAGCCAGCTGAACAGCCGTGTAGCGATCCACTATCACAGGGTCGCCTCAACACGACCTACACCAACCAGCCGCCACTAAATATCGTCGTCAGATTAGACGGGTTCGTGGGGTTGGATGCCCCCTCTCCCCTCCCTACGGCACTGAGTGCTTTAGATGGTGGCGAAGGCAACCGATAACTTAGAGAGAAAGTGTCTCTGAAATCTCATGCCCCCTCCCCCCGCTCTCCGTCACCATGGCCCCTGAAGTGAAACATCTGCTAACCTACTGACAAGAGCTTTACAAACTTACTGACCTGCCTAACTAACTGCGCCAACTATTCATGATCGCGCCAAATGCATTCTCCAATTTTCACTGTTATACGATTTAACCGAGTCGTAAAATCATGATCGTGGCCATGTGGAGATCTTCAGCATAATGTGTTGGCACGTTTAGTTTACGTTCTACTTGTTGGGTTCAAGGGCTAACCTGATTTCTTTTATGTTCAATGAGAGGGTGCAGTAGATTACAAATAGCATGATTGATTTATGTACCGATCCCACTGAGCCACCGTTGTCCGTTGATGCGCCTTCTCGTCGGTAAGGGTTGTAATCAGAATCATTTTCAGAATCACGGACCACTACGAGGTCGCTAGAAGTTCGCGAGCCTCTGAGAGTGAATCATATACGACTGTTATTACCGCCGGGCCGCTTTCTGTAACCATAGTTCTGATCGTCTTGAGCCACCTTTTGACATGAAGTGGATCCTTGACGTTATGTAAGGCTCTCAACTACCCCGAGGCTCCTAAACGGAGGCTCGCTGGCCTGGCCTGGAAATGCGTTCCAATCAGAACAACGTTCCAAATGGTTTTCCAGCCATCTTGGCGTTAAAAGCATCTGAGGCACTGCAGCCTCGCAGCATTTAATCTCACATATGGCTGTGTGGCTGCGATCCGGTTGTTTTGGTGTATGGAACCATTGGGCTCTGTTGGAATCATCGGGCTCAGACTATATTGAACGGCTTCGACGATAGTCCGTGTGGCAATGCCAGTCTTGCATTTGCATTAGCGGTCGGTGACCTGTAAGATGTGCTGCAGTGGCGGTCCTGGGAAGAGCCACGCTATTATACGCTGGCATTTTGCTCATGGCCATTCTTCTACTGCCGTCCACCCTCAGTATCCGCCACGAGAGGCCTTTCTGAACCACTGAAGCTGGCCAGTAATCGAAATTTTCGCGTATAGCACTCCGGCCCTGTAAAGACCACCATTAAAATGCTGTCCATGGTTGATCAGCGTTGATGATTCATGAAATGCTGTATCCCGTAATCATGTGGTTTCCCCAGAACCCCTTGTCTTTGATATACATGCATATATACATATGTATATATATATATATATATATATATATATATATATATATATATATATATATATACATATAAACATGTATATATATATATTATATATTTGTGTATTTATTTATCTGTTTATTTATTCATTTATTTATTTCATGAAGCTATGCGGGTAACTAGAAGTTAAAAATAGAGCACAGTGCGCTTGTCCTTAATTTGTTCGGCTCCGAATTGGTGCTAGGGAAACAAAAACGTACATTGCTCGGCATGACTCCCAGGTCGCTTAGGTCAAAAAAGGAACTACAAATTATCGTTACACTGCATGTGCGATGCAGTGCAGGAATATAATTGTTTACATAGTGGGCTCTTTTGATTCTGGCAGTCAGTATTTTTGAAATATATTTTAATGACAATATAGGTACCGCTGGAGTGCATTATATTTTGGTCAGAATCGTTGAAAATCGTCACAACATTGCATACTAGTTCACATCTCTTGCATGCAAAATACCGACACGTACGAGATAGTGAGGAAATTGATTAGGCCCATAACAGGACAACTATTTTTAAAGTATATTTTAGTTCCAGGTGAATCATTAGAGCGCTGTTGTAGAAAACAGCGTTATAGGTCTCATGCATTTTGTTCCAAAAAAGAGGATGGAATCGGCGGTAGCACGTAGCTCCACAGTTCTGTGACCGGCAGTGCCTATCCATTAAAGAAGCCTGGCGCCCTATGCCCAGAGAAAGGGCAAAATCATATGGAGCATGTCATAAACGAAAACAGGGTCCTGTCCTGAAAACAGGGAAAACAGGGTTCAGGTCCTGGAGACGCACAAAAGCATGTTTGGATGCCATGCGTTAAATGAATATGTTTCGCAATCGACTGACATTCGCCTTTTTGTTTGGTATGTCGTTATACCTAAAATATGAACGCGTCACAACTTATTATTTCGGTCCGTATATGCCGCCTTGCATTTCGATACGTTTCCGCCGAGAAGGTGGTCGTATGCTTCCTGGCTGCCGCCGGTTCGTTAAACCGGCGCCGAAAAGTCGACATCTGGAGTGGGTGGCCGCCTCGGTAATCACAGCTCCTCCAGATAGCGGGGCCGGGCTCTGCACTCCACGCCGGGACTCGCGCGTTGTTGTTTGGCCTGTGAGGCGGCCGCCGCTCTCTTTGCCTCGGCGTGCCCCATCGGCGCAAGGCTTACGGCGGGCGCCGGTTATTTATGGGGGTGGTATATCAGAGAGGATCTGGGGAGTGGAGCGCATACATTAGTGGCGTCGTGGCCCTGCCCCACCGCTCGCCGCTCGCATTGAGGCGTCCTCCTCATCGCTCACCGCCAGCGGGCCCGGCTGACCCGGCCGCAGCCGGCGGCGGCCGCTCATGGCCGCGCGCGACCCCGCGCGCCCGGGCTGCGCCGCCGCGCGCCCGTGCTGCGCCGCCGCGCGCCCAGGCTGCGCCGCCACCCGCCTCTGCGCCGGTGCTTCAGCCGCCACGGACGGCACCCGAAGGCTCGCAGTGACGCTCAACAAATGCCGGACATGGCTGACAGGTTGATGTTGGCTCTGATGCATATGCAATGGGCCGGATGTGATCGTTGCTGACGGGCTGGCTCCAAGTGGTTTATGGGCTATCCTGGCGCCTCACCCAGTCTTCTACTGATGGAGAGGGTAAACAAACCGCTCGACTCTCCATCCAGGCCTAGACATGGCGTAGACAGCCGCTGAGGCTCAATGCGGACTGAAATAATATCCAGGTACGCGAAGTGGGTTCGTGCGGAAGGCCCGGCGCAAGTGTATATTTCGAATGAGGGGGGCGGGGGAAGTTTGATGTCACGCAGCACGGCGGGCCTGATAGCCCCTTCTAATTTGAGACTCTCACGACTTACGAGGAAGCGCTCACACTGCTCGGGTGACGTGCACTTGAATCCCTGCAGCCCAAGCGTCATTATCACCCTTTTATCTTTCCAAGATTCGAGTTCCTTAACGAATCATTCTGTGACTGTTAAATAAAAGCTTTTTGTCTCCTTCGACTGGTTCATATCTTTGTCTGGAAGGACCCCAGAAGCTTTTTGCCTTCTTTGACCGGCTCATATCTTTGTTTCAAAGGACCGTGGAGCGGTGTTACTGGCGATTGGTCATCACCACCAGCTATTTCCAAGAGTCACATTATTTTCAATTATTCCAATATTTCCAATTTCCAACATTTCCTATTTCTAATTTCCAATTATTTCAATTTCCAATATTTCCAATTTCCAAGGCCAACTATTTCCATGAGGCACACGGTGGTACTGCAGTGCCTACCATGTTGACATACGCAATATTTGATTGCCTAGAAATAAACTCGAGCCTACACTTGATAAAAGCCAGCATCGTCCGGTACTTTATTGTGATCAATCGGGCTCGGATTACGACATGAGCCTGAATGTTGAACCGACCGAAGTGCTCGAAATGCTGAAGCAGTTTGAACCTAAAACTAAACGGTAGTAAACTGAAAGGTGGTACGCCCCGTGTAGACTTCATAATCTGTTGCGACACGTGCCTTGACTGGTTATATGATTACAGCTGACAGAACCACTGCTATTCATCATGATAGTCCATTTCGGTTGTGGGCAACCGCCTTGGGAAATTTAACGATTAAATGCAGACTTTATTGAACACCAGCGGTAAATATCGTACATGCACATGCCAAGTCTCCAAATTTTGGTCGATGCGACGCACAACCTCCTAAAGTTTTCAGAATGCAAGAGGCCGCCTGTGGCGCGAAAGTCCTCATAAATTTTCCTCGAAGCAGCTGATCATTAGCAAGCTTGGTCAGCCACCGGCAGATCTCCGAAGGAGTACTTGTTAGGGATGTACGACTGAGGCAGGGGACGTAGAAGGTTGACGCCTCTGGTAGCCGGCGGTGGTGGTAGGTGCGACACCATTGGCAGCCGGCGGCAGTGGAAGGTGCGACACCCCTGGTAGCCGGCGGCTGTGGTAGATGCGACACCCCTGGTAGCCGGCGGCGGCGGTAGGTGGGACACCTCTGGCAGCCGGCGGCGGTGGTAGGTGCGACACCCCTGGCAGCCGGCGGCGGTGGTAGGTGCGACACCCCTGGCAGCTGGCAGCTGTGGTAGGTGTGGCACCCCTGGCAGCCGGCGGTGGTGGTAGGTGCGACACCCTTGGCAGCCGGCGGCAGTGGAAGGTGCGACATCCCTGGCAGCCGGCGGCGGCGGTAGGTGTGAAACCCCTGGCAGCCGGCGGCGGTGGTAGGTGTGACACCCCTGGCATCCGGCGGCGGCGGTAGGTGTGACACCCCTGGCAGCCGGCTGCGGAGGTAAGTGCGACACCCCTGGCAGCCGGCGGCTGTGGTAGGTGCGGCACCCCTGGCAGCTGGCGGCGGTGGTAGGTGTGACACCCCTGGCAGTCGGCGGCAGTGGAGTCGACCACGGCCAGCGGCGTCAGCGGGACCTCGGAAGACCTTTCCCCGGGCGAAGTCGGGAAGCCAGATGGTCCGTCCGGACTCCGCGCGCCATCAACAGCTGTCGCCGTTGGTATTCAGATCATGGTAAAGCGAGTAGACGCGGCCAGCGTATCAGTAACCGAGAGGCGCCGCAATCTCAATCCTCGCCTACTTTTCCCTGCTCCGACCCTCTCCTCCTGGCACGGGTACGGCCGCCCGGCGGTCTCTGTCTTCGCGAGATGTTGGATCGCCTTCCTGATTAGATGAGTAGACCTGGGAAAGGGCCACTGACGACATTGTGGTGATGTGTCGTGAATGGACCGGGTTTCCTGCTCACCAAAACACTCGGAAGCTCGGCAAAAAGAGCTGCGGCGGAGCTGCTGCGCCCCGCTCGGCGGACGAGCGTACGCTGGTTACGGTGCTGGTGCAGGCTCACGAGGTCCAAGCCCCTTACCCAAGCCCTTTACCCAAGACCTTGCACCTTATACCACGAGGTGCCAGGTGCAACGCGGGCATTTCTAGGCGAAAGGAATGTGGGTTGTCTCACGCTCAATGCACATGTGTCTATTTATATTTTCCCTGTAGGAAATGGAATAGCTGTTAGTCCAGACTAATGTAGGGTTCAATAGAAACGAAACGTGTCGTTGCAGAATATACATATATATATATATATATATATATATATATATATATATATATATATATATATATGTGTGTGTGTGTGTGTGTGTGTGTGTGTGTGTGTGTGTGTGTGTGTGTGTGTGTGTGTGTGTGTGTGTGTGTGTGTGTGTGTGTGTGTGTGTGTGTGTGTGTGTGTGTGTGTGTGTGTGTGTGTGTGTGTGTGTGTGTGTGTGTGTGTGTGTTTAGTGTATGTGTATGATACCAAAACATACACAACCTGGAAGAGAGCTAATGGAATCGAAGGCTACAAGAAAATCTATATCGTGCAAAGATTGTGATGATGGGTTGATGTCGAAGTCCAGGTGAAAGGAGACGTAAAAAAGCTTATGCATGCCTTACCCCTGATTTTCGCACACTGTTTCTAATGTGCATATGGCTTTGTTGTCGAATAGTTGTTATGCCTTTCACGAGGACGACGATGTCGCCACTAGTGCAGAATTCGCAGCACTGCATTAATGGTCATGTAATGGTCAATTGCTGCGAAATACAAGGACCACTTCCGAGCTCTTTTTCCCATCGCCGTTTTGCCCTGTGGGTTAAAATGCGGCACATCTCGTCCAAAACAGTTGACGGCTGCAGCATCCGCAGCGGACTCAGGAACCACTCCGCAAAACGGGCCCTAAGCCACCAAGAAGCTGAGACCAGGTACCCTGCATATACAACAGCTGACAGGGACACACAGGGGCTTTTAAGGCCTCTAAAACTAAGCGCACGTATGACATTTTGGCATGCATAAATTGACAAGCGATTGAACAAGTTAATGATGGCAGGCGCAGTGCGACAGGAAATGTAATGGTGTGATGTGAGCGAGAAGGGCCTTCAGCGCTTGTTTTTTTCGGAATTATGAGTTTCAAAGGTATTATGCATACCAAATGGTATTGTTTTAGGCGGTGTTATAAGACAGGCGTTGGTTATGTTGACAGAAATGAACGTTTCACGCCCTGCTTATGATCACGAGTGTCCATAATATATCACTCGCTCTCATAAGCTCAGCTTGAAACGTCAAGTACTGTCAATAGTATCACCTATATCACCGTTTCTTCCATATTGCGGTTTAAAGGCGGTGTGTCTAGTCAAGCCGGAATTTTTAGCTTTGCACGTAGGATGGTGGGGAATTTTGATTACAAAATTTGGTGTCATTTGTTCCTACCAACTCGCTTAAGATATTACCACAGCCTTCCGCCCCCAATTTTCTTTGGTTTGTTTGGAAGAACGAAGTTATCGCGTAGCCCTCCAGCGATATTCACTACAGAACACATCGCCATCATTGAGAATGTATCGTTAGCTCTAGCCAATGGCTTTACGAGGATGTCGCTCGTCAGCGCTGACAGCAGCTTGCGAACGCAGCGGTGGGCGGCGGCCAGTATGTTGATGTTTTAGTCCGTTTTGTTTTTTGTTTACATTCAGCTGAGGGCTGCGCGTGTAGGGATTGGACGTATGTTAAGGCTGGCAAGTTAATACGCGCCCTGATTAATCCATGTTGGCCCACTTTATCCTGAGATGAGGCACACGTATTTTGTCGTGTCAATCGCTTGCACTAGCTTCTAGGAAAGCCTGATTCTTCTACGTTGTTTTAGCGGCGGCTGTAGGCGAGAAGATTCCTGAACCTTGAACTTAATGACCGAATGCCGAATGCACGTGCACCGAATTCAGCGCTCGAAATAACGAGGCGCATGCGCTGAAATTGTTGCTGCCATGTCGCTGGTACACCAGGCATGTGCAGGGTATCATATTTTTTCGTCTCGAGTTACGCAAGGGATCTTCAAGCGCATAACGCCCAATACCGCCAGCGCTGTCCCTATGCGTGCGAGAACGTAGCAACCTAGATAATGGCCATGTCTTCCTGCCCGCTGATTGGTTCATTTTTTACCATGATATTTGCTCACGCACAGCCATCGATAGGATCAATAAAAATAAATAAATTGAAATTGTTGCGAGACTCAAACGTAAAATTAAGCACCAAAATAAACTATAGATAGTTGCAAAGCATCCCTTGGGCGTGTATTTGAAAAATCGAAAACACTGCACACACTCTCTTTAATCAGAAGCCTTTGATGTTTTGAAGGTTGATAACGCAGCATAAGATCTGAGCCCGTAGCGTTGATGCAGTAGGGTTGATAACGTAAGGTTGATAACGCAGCATCTGAACCCGTAATGAGTGAAGATATTTCTCCCCGAGGTGGATGTCGTATCCAGAAAGTTTCCATACGTTTGGTAAATGCTGTAGAAAAACTTAAGAGGCTCCAACTGCCCTTATCGAGAGGGCCAGTGCTGCAAATACAGCGATGTGCCATTGTTCGAAAGGACAAAACTAATCGATACTTTTCACGCATGACTAAAAGAGGTGCAATCTTTCTTTCAGCAAATCCCTTGGGCTTAATTTTTGTCGAATATTTTTACGGTTGGTTGATATGCAAATGCAAACACTATATGGTTAGGCATACTAACATTTCTATTTGTAGCTGTCTTCACACTCGTCAACGAATGAGCGCATTTATTATTCATGCCTTCCTGAGCGTTCCGACGTGTTCATCACGACCAACTTCAATTAAAGCACCTACGCTCAAAACAGTTCGTGCAAACAACGCTGTTTCCACGCGCAGGATCAGCCAACCTCAGCGAACTGACATGACCGTAATGCAAAGACCGTCTTGATGACCGAAAACACCACCTCCATGGTTCACCTGTGATTGCCGGCTGGCAGCTAATCTGTCATTGACTTGGGTTTGATTTGGTCTCAACCGAACTTAGACACCACCAATTACGTTACAATTATGCAGCGTTGCGCACGTTTGGAGTCCTACTTGGTTGATTATCGCTCAATGACCCACGAAAGCGTGCTGGCACCTTTGATATTGCACACATATTTTATACCGTCCCTTCCCATCGCTTGCCATCTCATCCCGCCGCATCACATCCGAGGCATCACATTAGACCCATGAGACAAGGTGGAGCACCATGGCTTGCGAGAAAAGGCGAAGTTTCCAGCAAGGTGTGCACGACAAAGACACTGGGCAATGCTTGTTAAGGAGGTTAAACGACCCAGGTTGCAAATGTACTTGCTTTGCAAATGCTGTCATGTGATAAGTCTAGATATTTTATCTTGCGGTTCTTTTTTCAAACAAACGTAATAGTTTTCGATGGACGTCAACAATTTCTAAATTAATTTCATATGTCTGACTACAGCAGTTGAGCTGGCTGCGAAAAGGGATGGGAAAGGCCCAGGTCCCAGAGCGTGATGGTCCTGTAGCTCCCCAGTTCATGAAGCCGACATGGGGCCGCACCCATGTACCTCACCACAAGACCACAGGTTCCTGTGACGTACTGTACCGGCGTCCCTCACCACCAGACCAAGCGCTCGTGTAACGTACTGTACCGTTGTGCCCCACCGCCAGATCACGGGCTCGTGTAACGTACTGTACCGTTGTGGCCCACCGCCAGATCACGGGCTCGTGTAACGTACTGTACCGTTGTGCCTCACCGCCAGATCACGGGCTCGTGTGAAACGTACTGTACCGTTGTGCCTCACCGCCAGATCACGGGCTCGTGTAACGTACTGTACCGTTGTGGCCCACCGCCAGATCACGGGCTCGTGTAACGTACTGTACCGTTGTGGCCCACCGCCAGATCACGGGCTTGTGAAACGTACTGTACCGTTGTGCCTCACCGCCAGATCACGGGCTCGTGTAACGTACTGTACCGTTGTGCCTCACAGCCAGATCACGGGCTTGTGAAACGTACTGTACCGTTGTGCCTCACAGCCAGATCACGGGTTTGTGAAACGTACTGTACCGTTGTGCCTCACCGCGAGATCACGGGCTTGTGTAATGTACCGTACCGTTGTGCCTCACCACCAGACGTCGTGCTCGTGTGACGTACTGCACTGTTGTGCCTCACCACCAGACGTCGTGCTCGTGTGACGTACTGTACTGTTGTGCCTCATCGCCAGATCACAGGCTCGTGGGCGCTGGGGCCGGAGCTCTGTGACATGTGGACGTCCGCCGACGTCCTGTGCTGCACGGCCTCCATCCTCCACCTGCTGGCCATCGCCATCGACAGGTCAGTTGCAGGTCATCTGTCAGGTTGAGGTCAGTTGCAGGACGGTCATCTGTCGACGCCCGACGACAACAAAAGCCTTGCCATCTCCCTAACTTCTGGTGACGTCTGATATTCTAAGCTGTTAAACGGGGTAAAACTGCTACGCTCTCTGTTCATTTTGGAGTACACATTTTGCTAGCCTCATGTGAGAACGCCGGCGTTGTTAATTTCAGCTTACATATTTTGCTAGCCTCATGTGAGAACGCCGGGCGTTGTTCATTTCGGCGTGCATTTTGCTAGTATCATGTGAGAACCCCGGGCGTTGTTCATTTCAGTGTACATATTTTGCCAGCCTCATGTGAGAACGCCGGTCGTTGTTTACTTCGGGGTACATACCTCGCTAGCCTCATGTGAGAACGCCGGGCGTTGTTCATTTCGGGGTACATATTTTGCTAGTCTGATTTGAGAGCATCGGGTGTATCCGTGCTTAGTCTCTCCTCGTCATCTGTATG